CCCATTTCTGAAGAAGGGTCCAGGCCCAAAACGTCAGCCTTCCTGCTTCTATGATGCTGCTTGGTCTGCTGTGTTCATCCAGCTCTACACCTTGTTACCTCAGCTAACTGCAAAAGTGTGTTATTGTAAAGGAATTAAATCAATTAAAAACTGTCAGTTACATTCCAGGAGCAACAACTGTAAACTACTAATAGAGAACATTGTAAATCCATATATTGGTCACATTTTGCAAGGCAAATGAAAGATGTAAAATCAGCAATGACCAGGCCAACATTTTCAGATGTATTACAGGTGCTTATGGAAAAATAAAATTGGGCATGCAGGCAGAGGAGATTGGGAATTTCATATTCAAAGTATTTCTTTACAGTAACATTCTTACTAATGGAATGAACTATAGCAACTTTTATGAGACAAAATACTGCATTGTTCATCTCTCTTATAGTTCAGTTGAATAAGGCAGTGTTTAACTGAGCTATACCTACCCGAACATCCCAGGTTCCATTCCCAATAAGTGCTGACTTAGCTGACCTTAGCCAGTGTAGCAAGAGTGACCCTTAGCACCCACAGGCTAAGGACAGGTAAAATCAGCCAGGGTTCCAGATCCTGATCAATATTTGCCCTGCTGTAAAGTGGGTGCGTGGATAGAATCAGGCTCAGCTGTGATGCCCCCTACTGTCAAACAGCTTGCTAAACCCACTGTCTAGCTTCACGTGAAGAGTGGCAACTTGAGCAAGGTATCGAATGGTGGCCAGTACCTGCTGAACTGTCCCCTAGCATGCACCAGCGCCTTCAGTGGAGGGGGTGATAACTGGAGAGGAAAAATAAGTTTTTTCATGTAAAACATTGTACAAAAAATAAGGAGCTTCAGCCTTAATTTCCAATGCTGTTGGTAGAATCAAAGGATACTCTACCTAGTTAGTAAAATGATTGTTTTTCTGTGTCATTTCCAGCACAGTAACATTGCTGCTGCCTTGCCTCGGCTGCCATTTCCAGTGTAGACAAGTTGAGCAGATTGCTGCTGTATGTCCGCTTGCAGCCTGACCCCCATTTCACAGGCTACCTAAAAGGACACAGACAGATGTGAGAGGCTCACTCACTGTCCCAAACAAGTTCATCTGAAAACAGAGGCACAGCCAAGTGAATTACAGGTGGACCACAAAAACTAAGTAACCTCAACAGAATCAAAGGCTTATACATTAAAATTAAGATGCAACACTTGGAGACAACTTAAATTGGAGCACTAATGCCAAAATGTGGATGAATCACACAAAATGCATCGTGACCCCATTATCAAATCAGTGACAGAAACAAGATGAAACCTGTCACGGATTGCTACATGAGAGAACAATGACCTATTTCAAATTCAAAAGCTAGCCTCCAGGCACATACAATGTAGCACAGTTTCTGCAATCAGAACAGTACAGCACAGGAGGAGGCCATTCAGCTTGCTGAGTATGCACCAGCTCTTTTGAAGGGCTGTCCAACTTCTCTCAATGCTCCTCACATACCTGCAAACTATTTTCTTCTTAAAATACTTCTCCAACTTCCATTTAAAGACTATCACATTGTATAAACTACCCCGTCAGGCTAACCACTCAATACGTTAAAAGGAATTTTGAGTCACCAATTATCTTTGTTACTGATTAGAAACTTCTGCTACCGTAAACAGGTTCTGTTTATTAGCTGTCAAAATGCTTAATGAGTTTAAACAGTTCAACCAAATCTCCTCTGAGCCTTTTCTGCTCAAAAACACCACCAGCTTCTCCAGTCTGTCCAAAAGAAATAATTCTTGCAAATTTTTTCCATGCCCTCTTCAAAGTCTTTATTTCCTTCTTAAAGAATGTTGTCTGATTCTGGACATCATATTGCAACTAAGGTTCAGCCAGCATTTTGTCCAAGTTTGGCACAATTTTCAAGCTTTTGGATTATATGCTTTCTTTACCAAGTTCAGGATCCCGTGTGGTTCATTGACAGCTCTGTTAATTTGATAAACACAAAGATAATCTCAGATCTCTGTTCTTGCACCCCCTGTAAATTTGCACTGTTGAGTTTGTATTCTCTCTCATCCTTCCTACCAAAATGCATCATCTATCATGCACCTGTTAATTCTAACATCTATGTCCTTGTCATTTAACACCATCCATCTTATTCTAGTGCAAAATTTCTCAAGTACTAAATGTGATTCCAATAATTTCCATGAAAAACTGTACCTCATTTACACACCTACACATTTGTATTAAACCAATAGAGGCTGACCCTCACTTACCACAATAATTCCTCATGCAAATAGTGTCAACAGAATTTAGTGCTGGAATTTCTAATAGAAGATATAATATTTTACATAGCTTAACTAAACACTCTTAAAACAACAGCAATTAACCATATAACTGCTTGTGGTATTGTTTATGGCAACTGAAGTCATTGTCTAAAAGTGCAGGAGTATTCTACCAAATGGCATATTGTCAAGCTTGTAGATTTATATTTCTCGTGGTGATAATATTGATGTGAAGGTGGGAAGAATTGGAAGCTTGTAGGAATTTACAATTAGGAACACAATTGAGTTTGAAGTTGAGGGAAGTCAGATTTGATGACAGTGCACTAAGCATAGTAGTTTTAAAGTGTAGTAATCAATCTGTACCACTTTTGATATTTTCGCTTTGAATGACCTCTCACTATTTTAGCTATTCAAAGTCTCCATTCGACATCTTCAATTTCAGGTTGTATTTGTCCCACATGGTCCTAAGACTGTTTACACTGTCTATTTCCTCTTCTTTTAGCATGTGATTGCTGGCTTACATTTCTTCCTTTCCCCTACTCTACTAAAATGATTCTTTGCAAGTGGCAATAGTCCAAAATGTTCACCCAGTTAATCTAGCCATGTAAACTGACAGACTTGCTACTGTGGTATTAATTTGCAGTTTTTGGCTTTTCCTTTGTTGCATTGTCAACAGCCATTGCAACTCTAAGTGCGTCAGACAGAACCGGTTGTCGACCAAGTGGTAACAATTCAACTGGATAAAAAGGAAATGCCCTGAGTTGATTTGCCTCAAACAACCAAATTGACTGATTTGGTAGTTTAGAAAAGTAAACTACATGCAATTCAATACTTGAGAGACTTACAAAGAGCTGTTATAAAGGGCATAAGCTGTAGCAGGATTTAAAAAATTCACCATAACTAATATTTAGCATTGACTGTACTTTGATAAAGCAGTGTACAAGAGTGTACTTCTAGATTTACACTTCAAAATGCTCGAAACAGTCTCCAATGAAAATAAGTAATTTTCATGCAAGTGACTTTAAAGACAAAAAGCCAAACTGCCATTCAAGCAGTGAAAACATGACACAGCTGCATCATCTATCTCTCAAATGCTGTGAATAAAATAGATATTATTAAGCTGAAGAGGGTTCAGAACAGATTTACCAGGTTGTTGCCAGGAATGGAGCGTTTGATTTATAATAAGCTGGATAGGCTGGGACTTCTTTCACTGGAGCATAGGAGATCAAAACGTGACCTTTTAGAGGTTATAAAATTATGAGGGAGCATAGATAAGATGAGTGGCAGGTATCTTTTCTCTAGGTTAGGGAATTTCAAGACTAGCGGGCATATTTTTTAAGGTGATAGGAGAAAGAGTTAAAACAGAGATGAGGGGCAATTTACTTTTTTTTTTACACTGAGAATGGTTCGTGTGTGGAATGAACTTCCAGAGAAGGTGATGGATGTAGGTACAGTTACAACATTTAAAGGACATTTAGATAAGTACATGAATAAGAAATGTTTGGAGGGACATGGGCCAAGCACAGGCAGGTGGGACTGGTTTAGTTTGGGATTATGGTCAGCATGGACTGGTTGGACCAAATGTATCTGTTTCCATGCTCTATGACTCTATGACTCTGAATCACATTCTAAACATCTCTAAAAGTTGAGACAAAGTAATTTAAGGATTAGTTTCATCATAAAGATATTTGAGGAGAACAATTTGGTATTTTGGTCACAGTTGTGCTCAACTAAGGTTTTGAACAGTTTGTGAAACATAACAATTACTTCAGGACCACACTGTCAACACTCGTGCACTCAGATACAGAGTAAAGCCTTACATTCCATTCCAACAATACGTTCAGCTTTATAAGGTCACGTACCTCTTCCACCCTTTCACATGACTCAGTTTCCAAGAATTTCTATAAAATTATGGGCGCTGCCTCTACCAGCATCTGGAACATTCTGGGATGGGTATGATCACAACAGACGATTTTCCTACCACCAGTCACATAGGCCTTAATGATTTTCATACTTTTCTCCAGTTGGGCTCTTCCACATGATCATGCATGTTTACAGTCCAATGTTCACCAATGCTGCATGGGGAAACTGAGATAAAATACATATTAAAGTAGCTCTGATACTTTGTTAAATGCAGGATGGTCTTTGTCTCTACATGATCCAATCTTCTGACTATCTTTTTGTTTACATGTTTAGAAGCAACACCAACCATATTTCCTCTATGTTGACTACTTACTAGTCTTCGATCAGACTAGTTGGCTTTCCAACTTCTTGCTCTCTTCATATTTCAAAACATCGGAGAGGTCTTCCTCTGTTTTGTTTGTTCAATGACTCTTCTGAAGATTTTTGACAATTTTGGTCTAAATTCCCTTTTTATCTGTTGACTCCCAGTTCACACAGGCCTTTAACTGTTAGTGAACATAATATGTACAAAATTGGTATACCGTACTCGACTCTCTCTCACTGCTGGTCCATTGTCTGATGTAAGCTTTGTTTAGATGAAGTAATCTGGGCTAGGTCCCTTTACAATCTACTAACACGAACACATCTATAATTAACAATTATACTTTTGTCTTTACCTATTTTCAATATGAATTTTATTAACTAACGTCACTGTTCACCTACAATCAGGTCACTGCCTTGTTCCATTCACCTTTCCTGAATTTAAACACAATACTAAGATTTTCCTAGCATATGTCCCTATTTTGACTACAAATCTGTCTTAACAGTTTATCTTCGGGCAGCAAAGTCCACCAGTTAAAATCCTGTTACTTCTATTGAAGTTATCCTTCACAATATTTTCTTTCATCTCTCTACCTGCTCTAAATCACATCTTTCCATCTCTCCCTCGAGCTTGCTATTTTAGAATACTCTGTCTTGTAATTGAGCCCAAACATATTAGCCCCTACCTTACTGATCTAATCTGACCTTTTTAACATTCTCTGCCAAGTCACAGCCATCAGGTTGATTTTGCAAAAGATGTTCCATCTCTACAGATTGTTGGAGTGGGCAGAAAGTTGGAAGATGAAGCTCAACGTGGAGGAGTATGAGGTGATGCATTTTGGTAGGAAGAACATGGAAGAATGTAAAATAGGGCTTACAGTACTTGATGGGTGCAGGAATAGAGGACCTGCATGTATATTGCATAGATCACAGAAGGCGGCAGAACAAGTGGAGAGAGCAATTAATAAAACGTACAGTATCCTGACTTCTTAACAGGGCATACAGTACAAGCTGAACTTGTAAAAGTCATTAGTTAGACCTCAGTTGGAATAATGTATATATGTGGGACATTTTTCCTTGGAGAAAGTTAAGAAACAGATTTTCAAAATCATGAGGGGGCTAAAGTGGGGTGGAAGGGTTGACGGTAGGTACAATATCTTGCAGTGTATTCTAAAAGCTCCCAGCCACTTGGTGGGAGTCTAACAAATTCTCAAAGTCAGCAACTTCAAGCTTCAGCAGGTCCACCTGAAAGTACTGCTTTTATCTAAGTTTTTTACTGCATGCAGATTCCATTCAACACTCATCGTCAATGGACTGCCGATGAAATCATGAAATCAAAATGAAGTCATTTGCTGCCAAATTTGAAGCTGCATCAATACTTCATTCAGCTGCTTGTTCTGGTATAACCTACTCATTCTAATTCAGTCCAAACTCTCTCTCTCTCTCTCTCTCTCTCCTCGACAGTCCTGACATGGATCGTGGAACTACTACCTTCAGGTTTACTTCAAACTGAACCATTACCATACTGGCATCTTGCTATAACCTTAGCATCTCAGGAACGATTTGTGAGAAAACGTGCAGTTTACAAAAGTATTAGCACAGAGAATATTCAGATAACACAATTTCCCATAAACAATTTCAAGTGTTTGAAACCACCTGGAAGTTGTACTTTGTTTTAAAATAGAATGCCAAGTGTTAAGAAATGTTAGTACTTGAAAAGTACTTTATGCTCACTCCCAATTCTTTAAATGTAATTTTAATATTTTCACAATGGTAAGATAGTCACACCAAGTCCAGTGATATAGCCAGATATTTTTCAATGAAGCCATTTTAAGACATTAAAATGAATGTAATTCTTTGTCATTGCTCTGGCACATCAATCTCTTAGAAGGTGGGAAATGGTGCACTTCCACCACCCTCCCACGGTGATGACATCTGAAAGTACTAATGCTGTCTACAGAGTAGTCATTAGAAACAAACTGCTGGCTTTTCCAACACATTCACATTTCAAATGGTGATGTACACAAGGTAACAGCAACTACCTCCAGTTCAGTTCATATTTTAACATCTGTGTTAGGCTGTTGGCAGAAGCAGCAAAACCAACTCTCCCAGCTATTGAGTATTGTTGTTACATAGGTACATGAATCACATTTCAAAGTAACCTTTTCAGGTGAGACACTGCAGCAATTCCCACAGGAAGCACTATGATTTTACAAAACTCCACACACCATACAGGTACAAAAGCCCTTTCAGTTTTCCTTTCCAAAATCTGATTTGAAACTACCCAGAATCTTCTTTCACATGTCTCTATAAAGCAAAGTGGAACAGAAAATTGGAAGATTTGATAATCCACTATATGGGGATGGAATGACGTAGATCTTGGTGTACAGGGCAGAACTTCACAATTTGCTGATGATAGGAAGTGCAGAAACATTGTGAACCACGAGGATAGTTTGGAATTTCAAAAGGTCAGAAACTAGTCGGTGGAATGGGCAGAGAAGTGGCAATAAAATTTAACGCAGAGTGGTGTGAAATAAATTTTTTTCATAAAGTGAAAAGACAATATAAAAAGAGGGTACAGCTATAAAGGGGATGCAGGAACAGAGGGAACTGGGTGCACGTGCATAAATCATCGAAGGTGACAAAATTGGTAGAGACAGCAGTTAAGAAAGCATATAATATCCTAGGCTTTACCTGTCATGTTAACCAGAGAACTTAAATATCAGAGGAGGTGGTTTATAACATCAATGTAAACTTGAGGAGTAACAGTTATATGGTAAAGGGAGAATAGAATATGAAAATGAAATAAAAATAAGAAAAGAATTGTAAAAACTTTTACAGGTATGTGAAAATGGAAAGATTAGCAAAGACAAATTTGGACCCACTACAGGCAGACTTAAAATGGGAAGGAGGGAAATGGCAGAGAAATTAAACAAATAGTGTGACTACCTTCATGGAACACAATACAAAAACCCGACCAGAATACTTGAGAAACAAGGGACCAGTGGGAATAAGGAATTGAAAAAAATTAGTATTAGTAAAAATTAGTCAGGAGAAATTAATGAGACTAAAATTTGATAAGACTCCTGTACCCTGATGATGTACATCCCAGAAAGGGGTAGCTATGGAGTTGGTGGATGTGTGGCAAGCATCTTCCAAAAAAATATACTTTCTGGAATGGGTCCTGCAGATTGCAAGGTAAGCCCACTACTTAAGAAAGGAAGAGAGAAAACTACTGTTAATGTGACATGGGTAACAGGAAAAGTGGAGTTCATTATAATGGATGTGACATACTGAACGTTTAGAAAATAATTTCTAAATTAAGATTAAGCATAATCAACATGGATTTATGAATGGGAAACCACGTTGACAAATCTGTTGGAAATTTTTATGGGTGTAACCAGCCGAATAGATAAGAAGGAACCAGTGGATTTGGTCCGCTTACCTTTTCAGAAGACTTTGATAAGTTCCACACAAGACATTAATAAAAAAACACTAGAGGACATGGAATTGGGGCTAAAATTCAGGTATGGATTGAGAATTGATTAACAGAAAACAGTAGGAATAAATGGGTCATTCTCAGGTTGGTAAACTGTGTCGTGTGAGATCAATGTATGGGCCCCAGCTAATCAAAATTGATAACAATCATGTGTGTGTAGAGATCAAGTGTAACATTTCCAAGCTCATTGACGACAAAACTAGATGGAAATCTGAGTAATGAGGAGGATATAAAGAAGTTTCGAAGAATCTAGACAAAATGAATGAGTTGACCGTAACATGGCAGATAGAATACAATGCAGACAAACGTGAACTCATCACTTTGGTCAGGCAAACAAAAAGGCTGGTAAATGTTAAAAGCAAAAGGTACACTGGCTTATATGGCTAAAGAATGTTTGTACAAGACTAAAGATATCTTGCTGCAATTATATAAAACATGGGTGAGACCACACTTGGAGTATTCTGTACAGATTTGGTTTCCTTCCCCAAGGAAGACCGTACTTCCATTGAGAGGGTAACAGAGGCTCACGGGAATGATTCCTAAAATGGTGGGATTGTCCTTTGAGGAAGCTGGGCCTTTATTCACTGACGGTTCAAAGAATGAAGGGTGATCACATTGAAGCATTCAATTTCTTTCATACAGGGACAGAGAAAATAGATGCAGGACGGATATTTCCCTTGGTGGTGGTGGTGGTGGTGGTGATGATTTTTTTTGGTGGGGGTGGGGAAATGGATTCTCGGACCAGGGGATGCAGTCTTAGATCAAATGGTAGGGCATTTAGGATCAACAGTGGTTAGCACTACTTCCTCACAGCATCACGGACCCGTGTTCAATTCCAGCCTTGGTTGACAATCTGTGTGGAGTTTGCACATTCTCCCCGTGCCTGCGTGGGTTTCCTCCGGATGCTTTGGTTTCCTACCACAGTCCAAAGATGTGCAGATTAGGTAGAGTGGCTATGATAAATTGCTCAGTAGTGTTCAGGAATCTGCAAGCCACATGCATTAGCCATCCTACGGGGATCAGATGGGGGGCTGGGTCTGGGTGGGGTGTTCTTCAGAGGGTCGTGCGGATTCCCCAGGCCAAATGGCCTCTTTCCATACTGTAGGGATTCTATGAACCTATAATATCTTCACTCAGGGATGAAAAGCTTTGGAATTTTTTGCCCCAAAGGACTGTGGAGTATATTCAACATAGAGGTCAACAGATTTCTAAATTTCAAAGGATGTGGAGATAGTGCAGAAAATAATATTGAGGTAGAAGGTCACGTGATCAAGTTCAATGGCAGAGCAGGCTCAAGGACCAAATGGCCTATTCCTGCTCCTAATTCCTACGTCCCTATCAGTATTAGCACTGTGTGCAAAAGAAAGGAAGTAATGTGGTTAGTTGGCTCGCCGAGCTGGTTCGTTGTTCCACAGACGTTTCATTACCCTGTTGGGTAACATCATCAGTGCAGCCTCCGACGAAGCACCCCTGTGTTTTCCTGCCTGGTTTTTAAACTCTGGAGTCCATTGAGCTGGATTACCTCACTTACAGTTTTCCCTCGCAGTGGAATGTATATGGGGTCAAGTTCTATGTGTTTGTTGATGGCTTTCTTCGTGGGGTACAAGGCTTCTAGGAATTCCCGTGCCTGTCTCTGCTTTGCTTGTCCCAGGATCTTGGTGTTGTCCCAGTCGAATTGGTGGTGTTCCTTATCCATGTGGATAGAGATGAGTGAGTATTGGTTGTGTCTTTTTGTAGCCAATTGGTGTTTGTGTATCCTAGTTGTTAATTTCCTTCCTGTTTGTCCGATGTAACGTTTGTCACAGTCTCTGCAGGGAATCTTATAGATGACATTGGTCCTGTCCATATTGGGAAGTGGGTCTTTGGTTCGGGTTAAAAACCAGGTGGGAAAACACAAGGGCGCTTCATCGGAGGCTGCACTGATGATGTTACCCAGCAGGGTAATGAAACATCTGCAGAACAACGAACCAGCTCGGCAAGCCGACCAACCACAACCCAAGCTACAAATCTAATCCAAAACCCAAGGAAGTAATGTTCAACATACAGAAAGTACAGGCTTAACCTCAACTGCAGCAGCAGGTCCCATTTTAGGCACCAGAAGGTGAAGACATTATACAATGCAGTAATGCTTGACAAGAATAATTCCAGGGCTAATGAATTTCAGTTGTGTAGAAAGATTGGCAAAATTGGGAACAAAAACGCAAGTTGCTGGAAAAACTCAGCAGGTCTGGCAGCATTTGTGAAGACAAATCACAGTTAACGTTGCGGGTCGGTGACCCTTCCTCAGAATTTCTGAGGAAGGGTCACTGGACAGGAAACGTTAACTCTGATTTCTCTTCACAGATGCTGCCAGACCTGCTGAGCTTTTTCCAGCAACTTCTATTTTTGTTTCTGATTTACAGCATTTGCAGTTCTCTCGGGTTTCATTTTGCAAAATTGGGACTGTATGCCTTGCATAAATCTCAGAGATATTCAAAATCACGTATTGACTGGACTGAGTAGATAGGGAAAATCTGTTCCCATCGGTGAAAGGATTGAAAATCAGGGGGCACAGATTTATAGCACATTGGCAAAAGAAGCAACGGTGACAAGAGGAAAACCTCTTCACGTAGACAGTAGTTAGGATCGGTATAACATTGTCCAAGTGTATCCCGGAAACAGGGTCCCATCAAGGTTTTAAATGGGATTTGGATCATTATCTGAAAAGGAAGAATGTGCAGAGTTACAGGGTAAGGCTTTGGAGTGGGGGTGTAGTTTTGCTCTATCAGAGGGCTAGCAACAGACAGAATGAACTCAATGTGTGCTGCAAAGGGAAAATTTGACATATTATTGAATGAAACACAGATAGCCTTGTTGTCCTCAAACTTTTATTCCTATGTCCATTCCTATTCATATGGCCATATGACAGTTGGTGGTAACGAGGGGTGTGAGGGGAAAAGGAGTGGGTTTTTTTTTCTTGGTTCAGGACACAGATTGAGAGAGGAGGAATGAATGAATGCGGGGATCAGTGTAAGGTAACTCGGTGAGTGTGCTGGGCCTGAGCCTACACTTTAAACCGGATTCCCTCCTCCCTGAGCCCCTAGCCCTTTGTGAGCTGGCCTGTACGTGGCAGTGACACTCGGCCTGAGCTCCACGGAGGGCTGGGGGGAGGAAGGCATCACAATCCCCTGCCCAGCCCCCAGGCCCGGGAGGAGGTGGACAATGGTGGGGGGGGGAAAGAAGCAGGGCTCAGCTGTCCAGCCTCCAGGCCAAGAGCCGCGTCCCCTTTCCCCGGTAAGGCCGGACACGCGAGGGCTGCCATTACCTTTTCTATCCGTCTCTTGGCCATACCGTGAAAGAAGAGCTGGAGCGCCGCACTCAGAGCCGCTGCCCTGTCGCCCAGCTGGAGGAAGACGCTGCCACTTCCCCTCCCTCCAGACCGACGGTCCCACTTCCTGTCCAAACCGGAACCACGTGGCCTGATCCCACCGGTGCACTTTGGGTGTTGTAGTTCCTCAGCTGCACGCAAGGCGTGGGCTAATGGTTGCACATGCGTATGTACGCCGCGGGGTGCGTGTCGGGGGTTGTAGTCTCGGAGGTGGCTCGTTCCACGGACCTATGGCCCGCAAGAACTACATCCCCCGAAACGCTCCACGGGCATCTTGAGAAGCCAGAGTTTTACGAGTCTGTCCACAGACTGTTCCCAGAAGAGGGCCATTGAGGCCAAGGGGGCTCTGCCTGTGTTTATAGAGATAGTAGGAACTGCAGATGCTGGAGAATCCGAGACAACAAGGTGCAGGGCTGGATGAACACAGCAGGCCAAGCAGCGTCATAGGAGCAGAGAGGCTGACGTTTGGGGCCTAGACCCTTCATCAGAAATGGGGGAGGGGAAGGGGTTTCTGAAATAAATAGGGAGAGAGAAAAGGATAGGTGAAGAGGAAATAAACAGGTTGAAGAGGCGGGGATGGAGCCAGTAAAGGTGAGTGTAGGTGGGGAGTTAGGGAGGGGATAGGTCAGTCCAGGGAGGACGGACAGGTCAAGGGGGCGGGATGAGGTTGGTCGGTAGGAGATGGGGGTGGGGCTTGAGGTGGGAGGAGGGGATAGGTGGGAGGAAGAACAGGTTAGGGAGGCAGGGACGAGCTGGACTGGTTTTGGGATGCGGTGGGGGAGGGGAGATTTTGAAGCTTGTGAAATCCACATTGATACCATTGGGCTGCAGGGTTCCCAAGCAGAATATGAGTTGCTGTTCCTGCAACCTTCAGGTGGCATCGTTGTGGCACTGCAGGAGGCCCAGGATGGACATGTCGTCTGAGGAATGGGAGGGGGAGTTGAAATGGTTC